GAGTCTTTAAATCAGTATGTCCTAAAAGTTGTAAAATGCACTAATAGACAAATCCAGATTTAATGTGAACTGTCATTCATGTGGAGGAGCCCAAAACCAAGCAGCTGGGAGGCGGGTTGAAGGAAACGCTGGTACGCTTGCTCTATGGGCCCATGGATGCTGAAAATCTACCCAGGAATTAAACATTTTTGGCTTTGTGCACCACTGAGCAACTTTCATAGGAATGAACGGCCCTGTATCCAGTCCTCTTTAAGCCCAGTTTAGACCAAAGATTTGCGACGAGATGAAACAGCCAGATAGCGTTTTCACCTGCTGCAACAGGTGCTCCATCTCTCCTCTGTTTCCGTCTTCATGTGTGCCAGCGTCAGATGCTGGGTTGCTACTGCTGCTGGCTGTATGTGCTTATGCCTACCTCACACAAACACATTCTCATTGACTGATTAATTGACGCTGGTTATTTATATTATTGTGGCGTGTTCATTATGAATACAGTCCATCTGATGCTAGTTTTGTTTCTGTTTTTTGCCGTTTCATCACCACAAATGTAACTGTGGCCAGTAGTTCACTATCACTACCCCTATTCATATTTCAAGAAGCTACAGATTATATTCAGCCACAAAATAAGCCTGAAAAGCTGGAAATCAGAACAGAGGTAAAAAAAAAACTTGTTGCATAGAGATGATATACCATCTCATCTAGTTGCATTGGTGTGAACTGGCAGGTTTTTAGAACATTGCAGACTGGCACATTGCAAGTAGTTGCATGTTTCAACTCGTCTCATCATGAATCTTTGGTCTGAAATGGGCTTTACACACCCTCGATACAGGGGGAAGCCAAGCACCCTTCATCTGCACACACTGCACACACTGTGATGACAACGAGCTGGTTGAAAATCTGCAACGTTTCCCTTTAAGTATTATAATTGTGAGGTGCTATTGGCCTACATTACTTAAGTATTTCTGCTTTATGCTACTGTATATTTCTACTCCCCTACATTACAGAGGGGAATATTGTACCTTTTACTTTACTTAACAGTGAGCCTATTGATACGAGTTACTTTACAGATTACATTTTTTCACATAATACATCATCATGTCATAAAATATGACACATGGTTATAGATAAAAAATGTCAATTGGTATATATTGTTCAATAATAATAATACACTATTATAATATAGTAGTATAAACCTCTAAATTGTGGTATTTCTTGCACAACAATGTAAAGCAATTTGTAACTTTGTCTTGAAGGTTTATCATAATTATTATTAAGTAAAGAATTTAAGTGTCTCTTTCTCCCAATGCTATTTCCAAAATAGCGAAATATGTCACCAAAACCAAATGTTTCTTTTGAAGTCTCTGGCACTGCTCTTTGGTAAATAAGAAAAAAAAAAACTCTCAGAGCAACAATATGAAAGAAAGATGGAGGTAGGAGTATAGATGGACAGACAACTAATATAGTGGAAATGAAGTTCAAATGAACATGACAGACAGAGATGATGCATGTATGAAAAAAATAACACATATGCTAAAACATGGGTTTACTCAGCACTTTGAGTTATGGCTCATAACATGAAGGGCTGCCACTCCTCTTGGTAATAGAGTTGAAGTGCTGACGTGATGTTGATGCTGCATGAACATCCAAAAACACATTAACCCCTTTAGCAATCAACACTGGGGGTCCAGGATGGTTGCTTTCAATAACTCCCGTTTGAACATTTGTAATTTGGGTGCACTAAAGTGGGTCCTCAATAAAGTTGAGCCCAAGAGTAGAAGAGGAAAATAGAAAGTATCTTTCAAAAGGAAAATATCGTAAATAAATATTAATGCTGTGTGTGTTTTCTGTTGGTGTTTGCCTTCTAATCAATTATTTGAATCTTTTCATGCAGTGTAAAAACACATCTTCCTCTATATAATGCACTCTGATATGATGAACTGAGATCCTATTCACATCACAATTACTTATGAGCATCTGGTATCACTGACTGAAAATAGTATGTAAGACAGGGAACATCTGATTCGATCCCTGAGGCTGTTCAGGCATATGTTTGATATTGATATAGACGTCTTGAAATGTGATGCACTGATGTGTGCTGTGTCTGTGTGTGTCAGGCGTCTGGAATAGAAAATCATTTTGATGATGTCAATGATACTCATTTCCTTCTTTTACACTTTTAGAGGGAAAGACATGACAAGATTTCACATTGAAGGCTTCAAGCATATAATGTTAATTTTAATTGTTGCATATATATGTTCTAAAACTGAGGAATATTTACAGCTTGTGAATCTTTTTTGCCTATTTCTCCCTGAGGATGAGTCACGCTGACAAAAGGTAAACCATCTGAGAAAGACGTTGTGGTGTATTTGCTAAAATGTCGCAGGTAAGAGTGAGACTGAGTCTTCCTCAGAAGCAAAGATGCTCTTAACACCTGGTATTAACATGCGTCTCGGTGACTGAATCACAAGGGGACAGCTAAGTGCAGGCGTGAATTCCCCCTAATGTGTTCTAAATGCGTTTGGAGATCTGATCACTCAGACCACATTTGGAGGTTATCTGGGCCACAGATGGCGACATTTTATAGCAGTGTTTTAGCAGCTTATCTTACTTAAACTGTTGGTTTCTGCTGTTACACGGCGGGTTAGACAAGGTGCTTAAGGACCATATCTGAAGCCGCTCTCCTCCGAGGCTGGCAAATGGTCAGTTCAACAATCCCAACAAACTCACACCAACACCAAACAATAATTGATAACCATTAGGTTACATTAGCCATGTGATGTTAATAGGTAACCCTCTTACTGTGTGTGTACAGGGAGCCCGGTCTCACTCCGAAATTGTCGAAATCCGACGCTTGGGCAATGACTTGTGGTGACAGAAACCAACAAAAAAGGCATCCTTTAACGTCAGCATGATACGCAGGTGGTTGCCGTTATAGTTAAACAGTGCACGGCGGCATCAGGGGGAAACGTGTTGGGACAAGTACAAAAGTTAAGCTGGTGAAAGTCCAAATGGGGTGGGTGGGAGTGGTGGTGTATGGGTCAAACAAACACCAACTTTCACCCAAGAGAGCGGTGTTTGTGTCCCATAAGACTCCAAACCCTGTTCTTTTTTCCTAAACCTAATCATGTGTTTTCGTTGCCTAAACCCAACCACGTGTGTTTGTTGTTGAAGTGAAAAAATAAAATAAAAAAAGGTCAATTTGTGGTGTTGTACCAACATAGTGTGTTTATTTCGAAAGAGACTGCATGTAAATGTTAAATTTCCTGTGCAAACAGAAGCGTATCTTGAAAGAAGACAATGCATGTTAACAGGCAGAACATGTTCCCAGAACATCAACAACCAAGACACCCAGGGCACCTTGCACGCTGTATGTGGACGTCATGACCAAGCTTCAATATGTGACGAGGCCAGAGTGAGAATGGGTTGATACAGGCGAACTTTCACCAACTGTTCCCAGTGCAGAGCTCACACTCCCACTGCAGGAGTTTCCGAGCGCCAGTAGGGCAGCAGGAGTGCGGGGTGCGCTTATCTCATGATAAACAGTGAGAAAGAAGGGCAGGGAGGGGCAGAGTGAAACTATGCACTACGTGCAGCTCTGCAACTACATACGATTTTAGCTATTTTAAATATTTATAGCTGTAAGTGTACAGATGGCATAAAAATCTCCCGCAGATCCAGACAACACATTTGGTCAGTGGAAATGATACATGTTTCTTTGCACATAGAGCGGGGAAGAGAGATCCAATCATTTGTGGTCACTTGAGACACATGTAGAAACTTATTCTAATGCCAGGTGTAAACAGACAGACATAAAGCTGTGCTCCTCTGTGAGCCGATCACCCAGGACACATGTTAACACTGCGTGTGCTTTAATCCTCATACTACTGACATGATGAAGCAGCCTTCTTCCATCTTAGAAACATCGCCCGCCTCCATGTGTCCATCAGCTGCAGAGACTCTCATTCATGCATTCATCACCTCCAGACTTGATCACTGCAATACTCTCCTCTAAGGCTCATCATCCAGAGCTCTCCTGAAACTACAATATATCCAGAATACAGCTGCTTGTCTTTTCACACGCTCTCACACCTGTGACCACATCAGCCTTGTCCTTCATAACCTCCACTGGCTCCTACCACCTCTACAACCTCTAAAAAAATGTTATCTTCTTCTTTCTCTCTGCATAGTTTCCCTTCTTATTGATTATTTCATTTGTTTGTTTTCTTTCTTTTGTTTTGTCTTTCTTGTCCTCTGTAAAGCCTCTTTGAGTATCCAGAAAAGTACTATACGAATCCAGTGTATTATTATTATCACTAGAAACTGAGTCATTTATTTCAAACAACTATTTTCACTATTCAAAATTTGTTGCGATTCAGACAAATCTCATGCTCATGATGTTGCCCATTATTGTTATTAAGAGTTCTCTGCACACTCACACACAGATTTTGCAAGTTATTTTGGCTTTACTGTTGAAAGTGTTCAAATAAATACAGTTAGAAGTGGAATTTTTGAAGACGTGCTTTGCAAAAACAAGTATTGTAAATCAGGACTTAAAAGTTTGAAGTGTGGATCAGAGTGGCGTGTTTGACAAATACAAGAAGAAAGTGGGCAAGGTCATATGCCGCCATCATTATTAAACAGGCACAGAGCATTATAACTGGTAGCACGCAGCACGAGGCTGCGGGCTCAAAAACAAGATTACATCAATTCATGGAATAAACTGGCTGAAGATTAGTGAGGAGTCAGGCAGGCTAAGCAAGCTCATTTTCAACGTTAGAGAGTTCTCCCCAAAGTATAAAATATGAGCAAGTTGGTCCATCTGAGCACCAAGTGACCAATTAGCTAAATTAGCTACATTAATAACACAAATAAAGTCAGTATGTGTGTTCTGATTAACACATTGTCATCAAAGCAGTAAATGAAAACCAGTTGGTGATAATATCACTTTTTAATCTCCTGGGTGTGAGCTGCTGCTGCTGCTGCTGCTGCTGCTGCTGTTGTACCTTATTTGGTTTTCCTTTCAGAGCTCCAGATCTCTCCTCCTCCGTAACAATGCTTTCAATTGGTAATTTCTGCACCACTGGCACAAATGTGAAAATAGAGGGCTTAGATGGCACTCCTATTGAAATCTGTAAAAAAGAGAGGAGAGGAGCAGATCATCCACATTACAAGCTCTTCATAATCATTCCCCAGTGATCCCTCTGCAGAGCAAAAAATGCCTGTTTACTCACAGTGACTGATGAGTCAAGCATAATGAAACTTCTCCTCGATTAAAGTTTACGGCATTGTGTCAAGCTCTCAATAAAATCCATGTTTCAGCCACTCACCAATTGTCACACACTGAATTTCAGATTTAGAATATCGTATTTCTTTCTGCCTGGCAGGGTTGAGTAACTATACCCCACCACTAATGAGCCATCATCACACACAGATCAGGCAATTTAGCACCCTGCAGCTCAAAGCCTCAACACCCAGACTCAATGAGGAGTAATGAGCTGCAATTAAGTCGGCTCTGCATAAGGCACCATACACAAGTCTTTTTATTTGTGCTGTGTTGTTAGTTTTGGTGAGAAATGTCAAATATTATTCAGAAACTCCATAAAAACAAGCCAAAGGTTTTTTTGTGTTAAACTGTTAAGGTGACTAAAACCTGAGCATCTTTAATATCTACTGGCTTTTACCACTTCAGGAACCAGACAACCTGCCCAATGTCAGCACCATGGTGATACTAAAAGTTCCAGTGATGTCACAGCATGGAAAGAAATAGCCCAGCACAACCCTCGATAAAACAATATAATGATATAAAGCATTAATTAGTGAGCTTTAGAGGTGCTGTCCGCCTCTATTCCTAGTTTTTACACCAAGATAACCAGATGCTAGTTGTAGCCAAATGGACAGAGATAAGAGAAGTATTGATCATCTGTGTCACGGGAAGAAGACGAATACGTGTGTTTACTAAAATGTTGATTTTCTTTAAGCATCTTTCATGTAAAGTTTTACATTGTACACTGATTTTACCCTACTGTTTGATTACTGCAATGAATGCAGAACTTTAACTTCTGCCTGTATAGTGTGGCATCTTGCTTCATGGCTTTGTGTGATGTGAGCTCATCATTCTGTTTCGCTCTCATTATCAGTCTGGGCACTGTGCCTCCCCAAACTCTTTCAGTGGTACTCACTATGACAGACAAACTCCTTCAGTCAATCAGCATAACAAAAGACAGGGGAACATGTTCATCGCTGACAAAGCCAGTTGGAAACAAGTTTTTGTGGAATATAGACAGAAGAATGGTGAAAACTTCTTTTCCTCTGAGAAACTCTGTAAGTGCATACTCTTGTTCTTGACTCTATTTCTGCGATAACTTTACTTACCCCACCCACATTTAAGAGTACTGGTAGCAGTGGAAAAGCTAGTGCCTAGGTACCATGTCTGAAGGGTTACTTTTGGTTCCAAAGGTACCATACTGAAAGAGTTTGGTGAAAACGGGGCTTTACCTCAGCAACTGCAACGCAGTCCCTGACTGGCTGCTTTACTATAAAGTGCTTTTTTCAAAATAGCACTTTCACTGCCAAATAATTATTGGTGTCCTCTGTGAAAATGAAAAGGCTTATTTAAATCCACTTTGGTGTTGACATTATAAAACTAGAGCCCATCTTGTGCTGGGATCACACCAGCCGCAATACAGTGATCCAGGGGCGTAAGGTTGGGGGGCCTGTGGCGCCCTCCCTACTTCCTACTGCCCTACTTGCCCACCTTGCTTGGACTTCACCCATCTTTGAACTTGGCCTTCATTTTGATCTCTCTTGATCACGACGTCATCACATTTACAAAAGACAGACAGACATATAAACACCTGGCAAAATACTCAAAATGGCTTCTGTGGTAGTTCCTGCTACAGTTGGTGTCGCATGAACCACGTTGATGACACACTCTCTCAGACTCATGAGGTGAAGACAATACCAGCTGTTGCTACATTGTCACAGCTTGTCACAACCTCTGGGACAAGCAGGTCCATACTGTGAAACCACTGTTCTGTCTGCAGAGGTGACCTGTTGCATCCGGCTCTCAGCTTTTCTTAGCTGCATAGCTCAGTGGGTACAGGGCAACGTTCACGCCATCAGCAATAATGGGTCGACTTTCACTGGGGCCCCTCATGCTGGTGGAGCTGCACCACATAGAAAACACCACAACATCTCTCTGTACTGATTATCTTGAAATAATTAGAGCTGTAAAAATCTAAATTCAAGGGGAACATCTATGTTTCCAGTTATTAAGCTTACAAGTTTACTAATGTTAAATGCACTTGGGGAAAAATGCTCTGTGTTTCTGAATTAATGAAATTATTATCTCAAAATTACAAGAAAAAAACATATACAAAAAATTCTGCTCTTGTGTTTCTGAAATAACAACATAATAATCTTGCAAATTCTTGTTTTTCTGAATGAATGAAATTATTATTTTGTTAATTCAGAAAATCAGTGGATTTTTTTTTTTTTTTTTCATAAAAACGTTTCTTTCTCAGTGAACGCACACTTTGGTAGTTGAGCCACTCTATATGCTGTCCATAAATGTGAGCAGGGCTTCAATTACTAAGGTGGCAACACAATGCCCAGTGCTGTTTGTGTTCAATGAAATTTCATAGTCTGGACATGTGAAAACGTTTCCTATTTATTCTCACTACGGCAATCAAAACACACTCCTCAAAAGTACTGCGCCTGATGCTGCTTACTAATCACGCTCCCTCTCTCCACAGTGTCGACAGGTCATCTGTAAAATGTAAACTGAAGGAAAAGGGCACTGAGATTTTCTACACTAATCAGTGGCAGTTATTGTAGCACATACTTGAGATTCTATTAAAAATAGATCACACAACCCCCGCTGGTTGACGTAGATGCAGTCAAAGAATTAGTTTACTTTTCACCTTTCATCTCACAGTTTCACTGCGGTTCCACCAGCTTGCCTGGTTCTTATATAATAATATTTGGTGGGTCGAACATTTGAAGAAGATGAAAGCTCCGAGACAAAATGATCACCAAGATGTTAACAAAGCTAGATTTCACAGAGCTTCATTTTAAAATGTAAAATTGTGTGTATTGTTTGGATGACATGTTGTGGCTCCTGCTGTGACTATTTTTTAAGTTCTTACTTTGTGCATCATGTCTGATAATTACATGCTGGACTTCAAGAACGACTTGACTGCACTTGAAGGCAACTTCTGTTTCCAAAATGAGTGCTGGTATTTGCCTTACATGAGGAGAAAAAAATGTTTTATATGATTTCCTCTGTAGTCTGTGTAGCCTCATGGTTGGGTGTAAAAAAATTCTGTCACATAAACTTTTTAAAGAAAACAAAACATTAATGCCTTTAACAGCTTTTGAATCTGATTGAATGATTAGTGTTTTTTCTATGCATTATTACATACATCAAAGCCATTCATTCATTCATTCATTTTCTATAACTGCTTATCCTTTTGGGGGTCATGGGGGGGCTGGAGCATATCCCAGCTGACATTGGGTGAGAGGCAGGGTACACCTGGACAGGTTGCCAGACTATCACTGGGCTGACACATAGAAACAGACAACCATTCACACTCACATTCACACTTACGGACAATTTAGAGCCACCAGTTAACTTGCATGTCTTTGGACTGTGGGAGGAAGCTGGAGTACCGGCAGCAAACCCAAGCTAACACGGGAAGAACATGCAAACTCCACACAGCAGGGCTCCCCCATCCTTAGGTTCAAACCCACCACCCTGGGTTTGCACAATAACCCTCTTGCTGTTAGGTAACAATGCTAACCACTGCACCACTGCAGCCAGTGATTCTCAAATGGTGTGCCGTGATGCCAATCCAAGTGTGCCGTGGAATTCTGTGATAACCACACATTAATATTGCAGTATTCAACTTCCTATCCCACTTCCTGATAAAGAGCCAATCTTAGCTTTAATTTTAAAAACCTTCACAGGGAACCTATTTTTCGCAGTTAGTGCATGGGAATTACAAGTGTGCGACACATTAAAAGCCGTGATTGGCAGCCAGTTTATTTTTTGGAGCAAATTACAACAAAGCACCAGCGAAGCACCCTACCAGCGAAAGAAAAGAGACAAAATGTGCCTTGAGATTTTGGCATGCCCTATGGTGTGCTATACTTTTAAATGTCGAGAAGGACTGTGGCCATTGGAAGTTTTGAAAGCATGGCTATTCAACAAGTTCACCAGCACCTCTGCTGCCCTTCAGCTCAATTTGAACAGGCCTTTTTCATTATAACACCCAACACATCAAGATAAAAACACTGATCTCCGAGTCATTATGTATAATTTACCGAGGCATATTAGTGGGTGAGGGTTTGTTTTTGACATATTTAACATTTTCAGATAAAGTAAATGCATCAGCTACATAAATATCAGTGGAAATGTAAAATAATGCTGAGGTTCTATCTGCTGAATAAAAAGCTCACCTATTGTAGCGAGGTGCAAGCTCGCCAGTCAACATCAAAGAAAAGAGAGGAGAGAAAAGCTGCGCACTTTGATGTAACGCTGATGCAATCTTTTTGTTTAATTCTAAACATCAAGGTTTGGGCACATCGCAACCTCCTCAGGATTCATCCAACGTACATACAATAGAGGTGCTGTTATTCAACATGAGTGCCATGAGTCCATAGGGAGTTACTTTAATGGCAAGAAAAGCCTCTGAAATAAACATGTCCACATGTTGAAGAACTGGCAAAGACGAAAAAAAAAACCCATCTGAATTCAAATGAAGCAATGAGGAAAATTCGTATTTGCTGTCAAAACAACCTTTCCATTAGCCTCCAGTCTCAAATATACTGGTCTTATCTGTGTGTCCAGATGTAGCATTGAAATAACTGCAGGATCATAATGTCACTTCTGTCATAAAGATGACATTTATTCAAACCAAATATGAGGCTTTTTGAGTTCATTCAGGGTTGTTGGCCTCTCTGGGTCATTTAATTTTCCAGAGGAAGCAGAAGACAGAAACAGCTGAGAACTAACATATGCATTTACACTTTGTATCAAAGAGTTCGTACAGACAGACAGAGATATCTCGTCGTCCTGTTCAGCCTAAATGGGCTTGTATTGTTTTGCTGTCTAAATTCCTCGGCAATT